CCCCCCCCCCAGTAAAGTCTCTCGTTCACACTACCAAAGAGCATTGCATCACTGTAAAAGAATGGAATGAATAACTCTCCTGCGGTGGTCTGTGTGGTGGCCAGCAGCAGCTCTTCATGCTCGCAGACCATGGCTCCTTTTGATCTTTACAGTTTAATTATTAACATGCAAATCACTGGAAGCCTCTTTACTGCACAGAATGATCTGCCGCTTCTGCTGGGATCAGAAATGTCCAGATAAGCCAAGCTCACCAGCTCTTGTCTCTGACGTGGTTTTTTTTTTTCTTTTTTTTGGAAGAGGAGCCTGAAATCCCAGATGTGTTTAGGTGGTTATTGGGAACTCCAGGACTGCAGGGCACTGACATCAGATTGTTCCCTTGGGACTGGGCTGTGCGTGGCTTCCCCATGCTGTTCTGTACTGGGGACACTTCAGTTTAGTGTGACATTAATGGCAGTATAAGTAGAGCTCAGTCCACTGATGGCTGAACAAAGCAGCAAAGGTTTTTTCCATTCTTTTTCCCATTTTTGGCTCTGCAGGCCAGACCACAGTGTTCTCATCCAGTTCCCTTTGATCCTTACACAAGCAAAAATTTGCTTTGACTTGGAATCTGCCCGACTGAAAAATTCAGCTAATCTTCATGGAAGTTATTCCAGCTTGGTCCCGAGGTACTAAGCAGACGGTGGTGAGATAAGATGAGTTCAGGACCAGGTTCCTTCCGTTCCCTGCGATTCATTTTGAGTGTGATGCTGGATATTGCCTTCCAGGCCAGTGAGGTTTTGGGTAGCACAGCTAAAGGTGCAGCAGTGACAATGAGAGAACGGAAAAGCAGTCTGTGGCTGTGGCCAAACTGCCAGGCTCCCAACTATTGTTGGTTTCTAAGGTTACTGGAATTGCCTGAGCCTAAAAGAATGTCTTTGTAGCTCTTTTTAAAACCCTTTATGATGCCTGCAGAACTGGGGGGAGGGAAGAGGTGAAGAGAAGGGGAGGAGGAAGGGGGAGGGAGATGGACAGTTCAAATCTGCCACGTCCTGCTAATTCAGGGAGCACTGCCCTTCTCTATGTGTGGTCACTAAAAGGGGCGAACAAATTCGGGTTTGGTCTAAGGCAGGAAGAGAACGTTTTCCAGCTGTTAAATAGTTTTATTCGTGCTCTCTTGCTACCCCCTCCCAAGCAATGACCACTGTAATGAGCTACGTTCCTCCTGTTCTTTGGGACAGAACTACAAGAGGTGTATGAAGCACTGAAATTCCTCTGTGATTCCAAATACAGGGTTCATTTTTAGAAGTTCTGCATCTATTTCATGCAGTTGCAGACAGCTTCTGGAGCATTTATGTTAGCTGGGCAGAGCTGTAACACCCATTGGGTCATTAAAATTATTTTTGAGTAGGCATGCTGGGACAGGCTATAATCTGGCAGAAATGCAAATAGCTGGGCTGATAAATGAATTGCTCTGTTCTTGCAGTGATTTTTTTTTTTTTTTTTTTTTTTTTTTTTTGCTAGTGTTATTTTACTGGTTAGAAAACAGCAGTGCAGCCGCTGTTGGTGTTGGTGGCGTGGACATCAGCAGACAGTGCAGGGGATGTGTTTGTCTTTGAGTTGTCTTGCAGAAATGTTGCAGGTATCATGGTTCTGCTGTTGCTTAGATTTCGTACAGCAAGTGAACTGCACTTCATCTGGATAATGCTTTCAAAATGGAAATCACTGGCAGAAGGAGCTGTAATAGGTTAGTTATTAAGAAACATGTAATAAGCTCCCTTAGCTTTATGCACGCTGTCTGTGGCATGACTGGGGGAGAGGTAGTCAGGGAGCCTTTAAAGAGATGGCTGCGTAGGTCAGACAAGGAAAACGGGGCCACTTGAGTCCCGTGCCCGGTTCTGTGGCTAGTGTACAAAATACACTGGGGAATGACTTCCCATCTCTAAGATACTGTTAGCTCACTGTGAAACTGAAATAGTCACATGGGGTTTCCTTCTTAATGCTTCCAAAAAGTGCTACAGAGAGAAGGGAAACCCCGCAAATGTTGTGACAGCATATTCATGTCAGGCACAGAGCCCTCTCTTCTTGAGACTTTCAGGCTCTGAAACTAGTTGGAGAAGTTGTCAGGTACCTGTAGAGTCTTGGAGAATGGCTGTGACAGAGCCCTTCCCTGGCCACCCCTGAGATCTACAGAGAGACAGCAGGTACAATGCGGGAGGTGTGTGCGGGTGGAGGGCTCTCCTGTGGCCCACTGCTTGTCAGGGACAAATCAGGAGAGAGGCCTCAGTTCGTGGTTTTCTGCGTTTTTAAATGATTCTCATTCCCTTTGCATTTCTAGTGTTAGTGGAGGGAGTATTTCAAGATTGTGCTAATCTGTGACATAATACCTTTGAAAAACAGCCTAATTGCAAGCAGTTTTTTCGCTCAGCGGTCAGAGAAACAATGCTCTTTTTCTCTCCCTCCCTTCCCCTCCCCTCTCTCCCCCAAGTCCTCTCCCAAATAAAGCTGCCATGCAGGGAAGCACAGAAGCTCCCAGGCTCTCCTGTCAGAAATAGAGCGCTGGCTCTAATTTAGAATATCTGCTGACTCCTGTAGTCCAGAGTGAAGACTATTTTTGCTCAGTGACTTGCTCTAGACATTGTGAAGCTTGAAAGCTCTTGCTGTTATAATTGCTGTCTTGTCGGGCTCCTTTCTTGCTTTGAAAACCTATATTTAAAACAAGAATAATGACTGCTTGTAAAATCCTTTAGTTCTGGAAGAGATCATAGTAATAACAATGCACTGTTTATGGCGTTGGGCAACAGCTAAAACCCCTGTGAACATGGATAGCAGTCAGCCGGTCGTGCTGCGTAGAGTGAAAGGGCTGTTCTGTGCGGACCTAGCGGACTTGGAGGTAGGTGGTGAATGCAAGCTTCGAGTTTGTGATCCTGTTTTGCTGTCTGTGAATATACAGTTCTGAGGGGTAAGGAAACTTTGAACCCCCACCCCAACTTGTGCTATTTCTGTTTCTTTGTTACTGTTCCTCTAATCATTTGCCAGACAGATTTTTATCGTAGAAAATGGTGGCTAGTGTGGAACTCGGCTAATACTGTTCTGTAACTTTCTTTTAAAGTATTTTTCTAGGAAATGGCTGGAGTCCTTGTTTTTGGCTAGGAGTCCTAGAGATTGATTAGTGGTGTGTATGTGTAGTTTAATACTGAAAATGATGCATGAATGGTTAAATATCGTGGATTGAAACTGAGAAGAGAGATACTTGAACTGAGAACTAGAAAAGACAGGACAAGGAACCATAGAGACAGAGGATATATTTAAGCTATGTAGTGGTCTCCAGTGGATAAAAGTTGCTCTGAAAATGGGCATAGAAAAGTATATTGATCTGGACTGTCATGCTGCCATTGAGAGTTGGAGTCAAGAATTGACGGGCCAGTGGGAGGGAGGGAGGATGTGAACAGAGCACTGTCCCCACGCTTAGGCTGATGGAAGAAGTCTCTTGCAGAGCTGCTTACTGGATTCTGGGCTTGGGGCATGGCTACCAAAAAGAAGAGATTAAAAAAATCTCTATTGGCTTATTTTCTTGAGCACAGAAAAAAAGTCCTCTCTGCCTTTACCATTGTTCTTCCTAGAAACATAAGTAATATATTTGTTCCCCCACGTAACTTGTCACCGGCTTAAAAAGTAACTTAAGAACACAGTCATCTCCTTATCATCTTCTGAAACATGTCTGAACCAGCCCTGCTCACCACGTAGCAGGGGTTCCAGTCAATCAAGTTTGGAAAGCTGTTTTTAGAGTAGATAACTGTCATGCACAGGGAGGGGCAAATCCTGCCCCAGTGATTGCTGGCTATAAGCAGGACTTTGCCACCAGGGAGACTATGTGGGAGCAGATGAAACAGTACTGTCGTTGGGTCTGCTTTATGGCTGTTCCATCTGGGGAATGTATTTGACTCTTGGTGTATGTAGTTTTTTGCAATACGTCCTGCTTGCTTGTGAAACTCGTCTCACTCCCTCTTCAGCATTTATGCCAAAGACCTGCTTTCTTGTAAGTAGTGGAGAGTGGTTGCAGAGCAAGCCAGGGGCAGCGCTTGGCACGTGAGGGAGCAGAGCAGGAAAGGCTCGTGCCTTGAGTGGGAATTGTCTGCTAAGAGTCTCTGGCTGCCCCTGTGAAAATCCGTAGAGGATGAGGCATTGGCATAGGGTTGATGAGACTGAGACCATGGCAGAAGGTTATACTTGCGTGGTCTGTGA